TTTCATATCTGCTTTTAACTTCAAAGCACAAAGAGGTAATATAGTTTTGCGCTCTGAAAGCAACATTCCCCCAAAAAGGATGTTCATTAAACTGCAATTCTTTCTACTTCACTGTGCTCATCGAGAGCGTGTATGCGTGTGCTGAGGGGCATGGAGGATATATGTACTCTATTTGATGTGTTCCACAAGGAGAATTCGAATGCGGCCCCGAGAGATGCTCATTTAAAATGTGTCCAACATGCAATGATTGATTGTCTTGTGCAATCACCATATTTGTGCGAGAGCGACAGTTGTCACGTCTGAAGACATTCTGTACGTATATATTGAAAGGGACAGCATTAAAATCAGCAATATTACTTCATATAAGAATAACTTTAAACAATCATTATTATAATTGTTAGCATTTATGAATGGAAAAAGTTGGTAACACTTTACTTAAATCCTTTATATACAATGCATTTTAAAACTATTTTATAATCTATATAGAAGTAATTAAAGGAATAGTTCACCAAAAAATGAAAATTATATAAAAAAAATGAAGATGTACTCAGTCCGAAAGAAACTCATCTACATCTTGGATGGCCTGAGGTTGAGTAAATTTTCATTTTTGGGTGAACTACTCCTTTAATTGACCTTTCACAGTGAGTTTGATTGACAGGCGATCTGACCAATCATAACGCCGAATCTGCCATTTTTGTCCGACAAACAAACCAGACAGGAGAGTAGATGGACTTTGGTGGACTTGAACTTGAAAAATTGTGTGTATTGACATCTTTCTGCAGCTGAAACAAGATACATTCTGATGTTCATTCATGTTTATTTTGTGCTGTAACTAGTAAAAAGGAAGGGATGATCGGTTTGCGTGCCGCTTGACCTGAGGTGCTACAGTGATCTGTCACGAGACATTAAAGAGCCACAAATTTATTGTTTGAATTTCTTACAAAATGACAAAATTTGAAAGCTGAGACCTATTTCATACCAAAAGGAACCTGCACTGTTTTGTCTGTTGGTGCATTGTCAGTTTCCTCTTTGCTCCCTGATGTATTTTTTTCCGCATGAGAATATGATGTGTGAGAGCACCATGGCTTGTCGGACGTAGCAACAGTAATGAAGGGGGGCGGGACTTTGCAAAGGGTCAATTATGCCTTGTAATGTACCTTATAATGCGTTGTATGATGTCATGAATAACTGTAACCACATTGTAAATAAATTATAATACACAGAAATACTTAATAATACTTATAAAACATAATGCATTGAAACACATGACGAACAACCAATTTCTGATGTAACAAGTAATGTGCAAATATTATGATGGATTTTAACTTCACAAAAAAATGCATTTTTCAAAAGCTTGAAATATATAGCACACTTCAGCTTTAAATAACTCTCACACACACATACACACACTGTCATTTTAGCAAAAAAAAAAAGACATTTCACCTGTGAACTGAGGTACAGTTCCATTTAATACAATTTTATGGACAATGCTTATATTTCAGTTCCACAGTCCCACGGCATCTATATAATAAATGAAGCTTGTACGAGGTGCTGCAGTATAGTGTATGAAACAGAACATACAGTATCCAATCTATTGTGAGAATGTGTGCTGCCTCTGCACATTACTGTGCACTTTGAACCTTCAGCTGTGTTGGCAACCTTTTTTTTTAATACCAGTAGGTTTTGCAGCATGAATGCAGGATGAAAGAACACACTTTTTAAATATAATTTCAGATATAAGTATCTGCAGTCCCTTCAGCAAAAAAATTAATTCCCCCTCACCTACAAGCACACTGACAGATGGTTATCCAGGAAGTCAATAATATATGATTATAGGTGATCAGATTGTTGTGTAGAAAATAAAATAATTTTCAAAACATTTAAATATATTGTTGGTTAAATATGATATAGCCAGGTCATTCTGGTGATGATGAATTACAGATTATATATTGTACGAATGTAACAAAGCAGCTGATTCTTACCCATTGCTTGTTGTTGAGTATGGTAAATGTAATAATAATGAGGAGCAGTTGGTGGCAATTTGAGTGGAAATAAGAGTCCTTACAGAGAGGTTCAAGGGAACGAGAAAGAGTAAGAATTAATTAATTTTTAATAACACATGTTCTTCATTTACCTAGACTTCACACAAATGTTTGTGATTGCACAAGTGATGTTGTTCAATGTGAAGGTATGTAAAGATTTTAAAGGAATAGTTCACCCAAAAAATGAAAATTTGCTGAAAATGTACTCACCCTCATGCCATCCGAGATGTAGGTGAGTTTGTTTCTTCATCAGAAACGATTTTCTCCCAATCTGATCCGATGAAGAAACAAACTTTTCTACATCTTGGATGGCTTGAAGGTGAGTACAATTTATTTATTTATTTATTTTTTTTAATTTTCATTTTTGGGTGAACTTTTCCATTATTTGTTTAATATGTCTGTAGTTCTGGCAAAGTGTGTGCAACCAGGTATTTAAACTCTGATTTTTTTGTTTCTGGCAGGTTAACAAGGATTTATTGATTTATTTCCTGCTCCGGTAAAAGCTAGAAAAGGTCAAACACAACAAAAAAAGCAAACATTTCAAGAATTGCATAATAAATACTGCAGAACATTTTGCCAGGCTTCAGCTAAAGACCTGCTTTTTTACCGTTGTGCCCTAACGTAAGACCTTCATGCTGTAACGCTTTAATTCAGCCAAAATCGCTTAATAAAAGTTTATGTTTGGCTTTGGGTGGTTAAGTCCATGCAGCCACAGAAAGGATTATATTTCCACCAACTGTGTGTATTTAAAACCATGCATTTTCTTTGTCTCTCTTCAAAGTCTTTTGCATTTTTACCACTATTTTTCCTGTGTTGTTGACTGCGAAATTTACATTGTAAAACTACTGTAGCCTTTATTTTAATAAGTAGCAATATAACTTGACATTGTCATTAGTGCAAAGTTCAAGTCTTTGATTTTTTTATATAATTAAATATTTTGAACTAATATGTATTCAAATTTTTAGCGTTAGTACCTGATGAAATGTAATGCTGTCACCCTAATCTAGATTCATTAATTCAAAAAGACTCATTGTATTTAAGCCAGGGAAATACTTTTAAATTATAAATTGTCTAATTAAATTATAAACTATATTATCTGATTATATTATCAGTTCTGTGTTTTAGAAATGTATAAATATCTTCCTATTAAATAGCCTCTTAAAGAAGTAGCTTCCCCAACACTGCCAATATTATAATGTAATATTTGTATTTATTTATTTATAGGCTATTTTAGTGAATGTTATGTATAGAATTTAAATTTGATGTCTGTGATTTTTAGTTTTTTGTGTGTGTACTGATGAGTACCATAGTGTCTCAATTACGTAGAACTGAAGGCAAATTAATTATGTAGTCATAAATTTAGGTCAAATTCTTGTTGTGAGATTTAATGAGGGATCATACTGAATAGATCAGTATGAATAGATCATAGAGCAGAGAGCTTGCTAAATATTCATTGGTTTTGCACTCCTGAGGCATGGATCACATTGCAATATAAGCCCAAAACAGAGATAAATATTTATTTAATTTCCTTACTTTATGAATGACTCTTGCCTAGCACACCGATTCATCTACCAGTTTGATCTTGGTGATAAAAGGTTGAATGCAATACTTCATACAGTGACAAACAGTTGACTGTTATCACTCAGACATATCACTCAAAGCACATACATCTCTCATCACAGAAAATGCCATAATTAATATGTTGTTCTTTCAGTGAGGCATCTGAACATTAAATCAGAACAAGAAGAGGAGAAAGGGCATAGGGTGCCTTTTTTAAGCTGTAAAAAGGTTGTGGTAATGTTTTTATTTTCTGTACGTACTTTGACAGATGTCCAGATTTTAAATGTAGTGTATACATATTTTAACAATACTGCAGCAACATATGTTGTTGTTAGCACATTCATTTGCAATATTTTATAAACATCATTACCACATCTAGCCTGGTACATATATCATAAAAATGTGTTCAAATCAAAGTGCAATATCAAATATCAAAAATCAAATCAATAACATATGATTCTGATATGATTCTTTTAAATCTGAATAACTAGCATAATGCCAGCACAAAAAAAAAAAAAAAAAACTTGCATCTAAATGTTATGACATTACTTTTTAAAAGTTATTGAAATCATTTGTTGTGAGTTAAAAGTGTTTTATCTCACAAAACCTGGAAGAGATTTGCATTTGAGTCTGTTTGTAATTTATTTATTATTAATATACATTTTTAAGACTAAATAATAATCAACTAGAATATGTTTTCACTGTTTTCGAAACATTCATTTTTTAAACATCTCATTTAAATGTCCAGATTGTTATTTTGATACCTAAATAAATGCTCAAGAAATGTTGGCTTGCTATCAATTTGTTGTTGTTGTTGTTAAAAAAATAGGTTAAAGAAAATGATTTTTCTTTCCCTTTTTTTTTTTTTTTTTTTTACATTTATTGTTTAGGTGTGATATCTAGAATGTTATACTGCAAGCTTACCTAACTGCAACCAAAATGAATACATTAAAACATTTTTATAAAAAGTCTTTGTACTTGTTGGGACAGAGTGTAACACTCTGAGTAAATGTATGATAAAACAATACCCCAGGCTCAGCAGTATTAATGATATGCAGTGAACTCGTTATTAAAGTTCCAAAACAGTGCCAGGAGTAACAGATGGAATCAATTAAGCAACGAGCACTCATACACGTACACGTTTCATCTTTGGGCTTTTATCTCTTGTATGTTACTCCGTGGCTGTAATTAGCTGTACACTTCTACTTGCAACATTATGTCCAGTGATAATAATTGTTATTTTCATGTGTGATTTCAAATAATTTACCACTTACTAGTTGAATCAATTTTGCACGTACCATGTCCTTAGGTATTGTGTTTAATAATGAAGACATGTGCATCGTGTTAACTGCTTCACACTAATTTGCTTCTCTCGCTTCTGGTGTTTGCAGGGAGCTGATGCCGTCTACTTTGGAGGGCCAGATCACAATGGAGAAGACGCCCAGCTACTTCGTGACAAACAGCGCTCCGAAGCGAATCCACTCGATGGCGAGAGACATTAAACTAATCATAGTCGTCCGCAATCCAGTGACCAGAGCCATTTCGGACTATACTCAGACGCTCTCCAAGAGGCCTGAGATTCCCACTTTCGAAGTGCTGGCCTTCAAGAACCGAACGCTGGGCCTGATCGACGCGTCGTGGAGCGCCCTGCGAATAGGGATCTATGCGCTTCACCTGGAGACCTGGATGCAGTATTTCCCGCTCTCACAGATGCACTTTGTCAGCGGAGAGAGACTTATCGTTGATCCGGCCGGCGAGATGGCAAAGGTGCAGGATTTCCTGGGACTCAAGCGTATTGTTACTGACAAACATTTCTATTTTAATAAAACCAAGGGATTCCCTTGCTTGAAGAAGCCAGAGGACAGCAGTACCCCACGGTGCCTTGGCAAGTCCAAGGGCAGAACTCACCCCAAAATAGACCCCGATGTCATTCGCAGACTGCACAAATTCTACAAGCCCTTTAACATGATGTTCTACCAAATGACAGGGCAAAACTTTCAGTGGGAACTGGAGGAGGATGGCAACTCGCCTGGCTCTCGGGACTAAACCGCTGCTGCTCTCTGCACCACCAGCCTTCTCATAGCCGAACGCCCCCTTCATCCCTCATCGTTCTCTCGGTCCGTGCTTCAACACGCCAATCGATCGTTGCTGTCTTTGTGAAAGTGTGTATACCCATAGCAAGAGTGCTAATCTGCTCTGTCAACCCCCAATACCAATGGTGTTTATGATGGCAAATGTCATTGTACATATTATCCCGAATATAAATATATTTATATTTGTCAAAAGAGGATTTTATTCATTTTGTTCAGAAAAAGTTGCTATATGAATCATGTCTTCTATGATGATGCATGCGATGAGTTAAGTGTCCTTGCCCACCGTCACCCTGAGGGTTTTATTTTTGAATCTATCTCTCTATTTCTCGCACACCAGCAGTGAGTGCAGTACAATTGAGTCTGATAACCGAGGTTATTTATGGATTCTGAAGACTAGAAACAGCTGCAGTCAAATGCAGATCTTATCGATACAGTAATCCTCTAAAATGAGAAAGCTTCAGTTATTTCTGCCCAATTTTATGCATACAGTTTTGTTTTGTGGCTAATAAAAATTCAGATAGTTGGGTCCAAAAGCTTACACTTCTATATGCATTTTTTATTATTATATCATATATTTAATATTATAGTATGCAATATATTATCAGAATGACAGTTGTACTACATATATTTAACATTTTCCAAATCTTAAAGCATTTATTTTCAGACAACTGGCTTTTGGACCTCACCTCTTTAATAAATTAGCTTGAAGAAATGCACTACATGCAGTACTTTTTACAATTCTTCACTTTGATTAAATGTGCACTTACACTACTGTTCAAAAGTTTGGGTCGATAAGATTTTTTAATGTTTTCGAATTAAGAATTAATCTTATTTTCACAGAGGCTGCATTTATTTGTAAAAATAGTAATGTCGTGAAATATTATTATAGTTTAAAATAACTCTCAAAATATATTTGAGTATATTTTAAAAGATAATTTATTTCTTTAATGACAAAGCTAAATTTTCAGCATCATTACTCCAGTTTTCAGTGCCACATGATCCATCAGAAATCATTATAATATGCTGATTTGATGCTCAATAAACATTTCTTATTATTATCAATGTTAAAAGTTGAGCTGCTTAATATTTGTGTATAAACCATGATACATTTTTTCAGGATTCTTTGATCAATAAAAAAGCATTTATTTGAAATATAAACCTTTTGTGAATTTATAAAAGTAATTACTGTTGCATTTAATCAATTTAATGCATATTAAGAAGCATTAACTTCTTGGGGGGGGGGGGGGGCTCATTGACCCCATATTTTTGAA